AACCGTTGAAATATCTACCTGATTCGCTGGAATAGTCATTTGTCACATTATTTCAGAGCAAACAATTAGCATCTACTATAATATTTATTTTTCTATCCGATATACAACTGATATTCGGATATCTTTCCCCGGAAAATGTGTTATCTCATGGTCCGTTGACATCATCAACAATGTGATTTACCACAAGAGAGTAACCAACATTCCTTAATTAAAAAGTTGACATCTCTTGAATTTTATAGCAAAAACACTATGACACAATTACATCGAGGCAAAATCAAAACATGGTGTGGAAATAAAAGGCATACAAAATGGCCATTAAAATGACATTCTTGTTCATAAAAGTATCAACTCTGCTACATTGGACGCAAATACAAAGTATAGAATAAATAAAAAATAACGTCTTCCCAGAGATTACAATACGGATCAGTAAGTCCACAAAATAAACAAACTTAGCCCATGTCTGCAATTGTTCGTCTGCTGGTCAGAACTTGGTATCCGCTTCGGATAATCAATTTATGTGACTACTGATGTCTTAAATACTTCATAAAGACGACGTTGTCTTTAAATAAGGATCTTTAATCTACAAACTGTAAATAAATAGCGTAAACGTTTTTTATCATTGTTTGTACGACATCCTAGGATATGATTGTGTGAACTTTTATATTTTGATTGATTGCAACATGGGCTTTCAATTAGACCACATAAATTAAAATATATAAATTGTGATGTCGTCACCATAAAGCTGACCAAATAGAAAGAGGAGGGAAACCTCATGATTCAATTGATGACATACGATTTCCTCCTTCGCGCACCACCTATGGTCGAAAACTTACCCTCCATCTTGGTTTTCAAAGTTTGCAAATTGACCTAGTTTTAAACCAATCAACGATCGACTCGCTAAACCGATCAGCGACGATGTCATCTCAATACAGATTTACATTATAAGCGTATGTCATCTTTGAACCCTGGGGTTTCTCCCCCTCTTCCAGATTGATAAGGACAACGCCATTGATGAGTATATTATTTACACACTTCACCGCAAATGTGGTATTTGTAGATTAAAACAGTATACATATGGAGTAAACAAATTAATTATTAAGTAGTATCACCAACACTAGATATTGAAATATGGAAAAACATCAAGATATAGATTTATTTTAGTTCACTAATGACGAGCATTTCAATAGCAGTAGTGTTTAATTTATACACATATAAATTTAACCGACTTTCAAATTACTAGATAATATAGTATTTTGACGTCAACGGTCATTGATATATGGTCAAAAAGACAATTATTTATATATGAGTCATTATTCACATGATCCATAGCCATCAATATGCAAGGATAATTCGTGTACTTACTATTTGTTTATAATGCATTTATGACAAACAAACAACCTCATTATAAGGTAAACATGAGGAATAGCTTTTGTCTCAGAAAAACAGGGTTCTGAATGATTTAATTTCCTTGTAAATAAGAGATCGATTTTAAAATATCTTATATAATCAATCACTGTTCCACAACTAGTTACTTTGACGGGACGATGAACTTCCTGGTTACGTACGTAAAACGTACTTATAAGTCAAGTTGCAGATTATAATTTGGCACAAAGCGAGAAAATATATAGTCTAGTTTCCTCGATTTGGATTTTGTTTTGTAAATGAAGTTGCAATTCATACATTTAGCTCCTCGCTTTTGTTACAGTGACGAAAGTCCATTATATACTACCAATGTACATGCATGTTACTTTGACGACTTACGTCAATGTAACAAAAGCGATGGTCTAAATGCATGAATTACAGCTTTATTCAAAATTCAAATTCCAAACCGAGAGTATTTCTTAAAACTAGACTATATTGTCTTTGTGTCAAATGATAATCCACAACTTTACTAAGAAGGTTTAAATCGAGAAAACAAAAAAAACTCGTATCCAGGAAGTTCATCCATTTTGTTACATTGACGTTTTGTCAAAGTAACTACAGGATGGGCCCAAAAAACTCACCCCTAGCTAATATTCCCGATAAATATTTATGTTTTAGCAATCACACCAACAGTGATATATCATATTAAAGATAATTTATAATAGCACCATTTTAAACAACCCCATATACAGGGCGTATCAAAAAAACGCAACAAGTAGTTATCTCGTAAAATCACAAAACTAGCGATGACTACATCAATTTCATTTAATGTAACATAAAGCCATGTCTCTCCTCTTTGCAATGATATGTCATTCATTCACATGTGGTAATGGTTGGGTTAGAAATCCTTCCCTTTGCAGAGTAGGTCAAAATCGGCTCTGCACCAAGTTTTAGATATTGAAAAAATCAGTGCAAGGGCTAAGTGCTAATGGAAGTTCCCCTGACTTGAATTGTCGTGACTTTTTCTTTTGGAGCTATCTCAGGAGCATCTGTGCTCACAATTCCTCCACCAGATATTGCAAAACCTCGAGAAAGATTTGCCCATGGGCTGCTTTTCTTTACTTTAACCCACACATGATTCAGGGCTGAACCATGCATGAGGTGGACAGATGAGCGCATCTTTATGTGCTAGGAAGTGGTGGCAATTTGGAGGGGTATCGAACGTATTCTTGCAAGAGTTTGAGTATGAACACTTTACTGTCTATGGCCCATACCTGTCACACCTTCTTCCAATAGCCCCTATGTCCCTTGTACTGACTTTTGCAATGTTTTAAACTTGGGTCCTAGCTGAATTTTGCCCCACTTTGAAAAATTAATGATTATTCGGCCAGAGATGACTCCCTGTGAATGAATGATATTACATTGCAAAGAGGAGTAATTTGGCTTTTTGGTACATTGAATTAAAAGGATGCAGTCAGCATTGGTTTTATGTTTTCGTCCAATATTGCATCGGGTTCCGTACACCGACTTTTGCAATGTTTATAACTTGGCCCGAAGCTGATTTCAACTGTTCATCAACCAATGGCCCACTTTGCAAATGGAATGATTGCTCGCCCAACCATGACCAAATATCAATGAATGATATATCATTGTAAAGAGGAGACACATGGCTTTATGGTGTATTGAATGAAATCAATGCTGTTATCACTGGTTTTGTGCTTTTCTAAGATAACAATCTGTTGCGTTTTTTTTTGATACGCACTGTAGAAATGTAACCTAATATGTGATATGGGGGTATGCTTATAAAACAAATTTATTACAGGTACTTCTTCAGTCTGTCCAAATATGGCTCAATAAACCCACCCCCGGACCCACCTTCTGATCTGATTATTCGATTAAGACGCGAAAGCCATTGGTATAATTGATGGATCTCTGCGGAAGTACCATCCAACTCCTAATTATTCATTCTTTCAATTTGTCTACACTCCTGTTGGGCTAGGGATCTTCATAGACCAACTGTTCTAAATGCCCAAAGCACTATACAATCACGTAATCAACACGATACTCTATATATCAGTAAGCAAGAATAGTGACATTTGCGATAAAAGGCTATTCAAATCGGGATGACATTTCTCTGAAAGGGTAGTGGTGTCCACTCGGTGTTTACCAAAAAGGAAAGACCGTACGGGCCATGTTTTTGTTGAACCAGGAGCAAAAATATACTGATTAATTATTAATGAAATGACTCCTCGAGGATATAAAAAACATGTGAAAGAAATTTCATTTTCTGATAGGACAATGCTCCATCACACATGTCCAATGCTACCCTGGAGTTTTTGGAGATCCGAAATGTCACCATCTCTAGCCAATAATGTTGATTACCATACCTGGGGGCATCAAAAACAGTTGGAATTTAAAGATACCCAGCCTATCAGGGATGTAAAGGAACTAAAAGAAAGAATGGTACTTCCGCATACATCCACCAATTATGCCATCAACCAATGACTTCCGCTTCTTAAGCGAATAATCCAGTCAGAGGATGGGCCCGGGGGGTGGGTCTATTGAGCCATGTTTGGACAGACTAAAGAAGAAATTAATTAGTTTTATAAGCATATGTATATTGAGCATGCATGGTTCAAAACTGAAAACAATAAATAATATCCTATTATGAAAGACTCGTGACAATGTTGCAATTTTAAACTGAACAGTAAAATTTGGTAGAAATACAGGTAGGCTATTGTTTGCAAAATCGATGAAAATTGAGAAGGTGTTTTTTGACGCCCCGTGTCACATAAATGGTTATATCTCGAGCCAGGGTTGTTGAAAATCGTTCTGTTATATATCGTGTTGTTGCAAATTGAATTATCTTTAAAATGATACATCATTGTTGGTGTGCATGTTAATAATCGAATATTCATCAGGAATATTGGCTAGGGGGTGGTTTTTGGCCCACCCTGTAGTTGTGGAACATTGATAATTATATCACTGCCTTATTCCTCACACACTGATTGGTCTTTGCCCTACACGTGACTAAAACGTAAAAAACAATATTCAACAGCAGTACATATATATGACTATGAAACATGTGAATTATCTGTTATTATATCACTGTCTTACTCCTCACTCTCTGATTCAACGGAAGTCACGTGACTTCCGTTGAATATCAAATGCTATTCACCAGTCAGGCAGGGGGAGATCTCCCAAAGTTCAGCCTACATATTCGATCACGTGGTACCCATGTATTAGATCCATATAAGGCTTACATGGCCATATAGAAATCCAACTGACCGTTGTCCGACATTTTGAATATCATGTGATAGATCCATATAAGGCTTGTATGACCATATGTGATGGCTAAGGGGAATCCCCGAATACGAAAGTATATGATAGTATTATGGGAGCTACTCACTTCTTCTGTCAGTCAGGAATTAATCCAGTGTAATTTCAATTTTATATATTACCCGGGAGTACATTTATGATTAATTAAACATCAATAGTTTGTTATTCCATTAATATGAGTGAGGAATATAACAGTGAATAATGAAACAAATATCTAATTCAATTTTCGGTGAATACCTGTGACACTTACACAGGATGATATTCCACTAGCCCTTTGGGTTTCGTGGAATATCACTTGTGAAAGATGCACAGGTATTCACCTTAAAAGAATTAAATATTCGTATAATATTGCTAAACAGTCACGACTTAGTCAAGTAAAAATTTGATTTTATATACCTTTTCAAATGAAAGTTATTGGTATTTATATTTCGTATGATACCAATTTCTTGAACATGAACGCTATCTGAAAACATCTAACAGGACAATTTGGTATGTTTTGAGAAAAATCGACTTTATTTTGTACAATGAATTCGCAACAGCTTGTAAATGTTACGACTCAACCTCAAGTTTTGACTATTGTGACAATATAGTCGCTGCACTGGATTGGTCCCCTTTTTTATAAGTCTTAGCTCATCATCTCCAGCTACATAATGTATTAATTTGGTAACCAAGAGAAATCAAAATCTTTAAATATTTACGTTTGAGAAAAAATGATTCTTAGACGTGAATACGAACATCTCTTTCAGTTTTGAACAATTTTATTCCGATCTACTTTAACTCTGCAATCGTTTATAGTTGATGTTCTCGCTCGCGGGAATAATGGGGGCACGATGAGACTCATACAATGTTGTCAGCTTCAAAATGTTTCAATCTAAATGCACGATGTAAGAGTCGATTTTCCTATATTGTTTGAATTTGTTTGAATAACACCTCCCGAATGACATAATATGTAGTAATTCATGAAAATAAATATCAGCATTTCTTCCTTGTGCTTCAGAATCTATTCACCGTTTTCCATTATTGGATTTTGTGCAACAAATTCGGAATATGCCATTTCAAAGACTTGTTGATCATCGCAAATCTGCCCTTGTAATTGAGCTATATATGGTATAATGTCAGAAAATTGTTTGAATTCTTTGAAATGCTCTTCAAGTGGTGCAGAGGGAATTTCGTTCCATTCTTTAATCTGTACGTCAATGTTCTTCTTCCTACGTGCTGGTAGACCTAATAGGAATATGTTGACACTCTTATGCGGTTCACGAGCTTTAAGAGCAGCCGCAGCTCTCAGTGTGTTCTTTTGGAATTTCTTCTTCATTGTCCGGCCATCGGTTGCAAGGACCAAGACATTTGCAGCTTCTGGACGATCTCCATAGGCCTTGGTGAATATTTTACCATTTGCAAGCTCTAGTGTGAGGTCTGTGCGTGTATCTTTACCTTGTTTTAGGGACATTTCTTCCAACACCTTTAACGTTCCGTCTAATGAGTTGCTTTCTGTGCTGTTGAAATACAACAGCGTTTCGACCTTTCTGTTATATGTCATAAGTGCGAACTTCACAAGATCGCCTACACCCACAAATGTCTCGACAAGTTCAACCATCGCTCGACGGAGTTCTCTCAAATCATCATATCCGATACTATTGGAATGGTCAAGGACAAGAAGGATGTCAAGGGGTGTGTCCGGGCATGGATCATCACCTAATTTTAAGATCAAATAAATGGTCTGCAGTTCGTATATCAAAATAAGATTTCGAACAGAAAATAAACAGATATTTATAGGATATCCTATGATTTTGAGGAATATCATTTTTATCTACGAGGTGATATTGATATCTGCACGAGAGAGCGAAGCGAACGAGTGCATATATCAATATCACCAAGTAGATTAAAATGATATTCTGAAAAAAATCATAGGATGTTCTTATTATCCTACACTTACAAGGAGTGTACTGAATGTATAATATCATTGTAAAATTAATTCCATGCCAAATAGAGTCAATTTGGCGGGAAATCAACAAGCGGAGTATATCGTCACAATATCCTCCGCATATTGGGTTTTCCGGAGTATATCGTTACGATATCCTCCGGATATTCATTTTGCCAATAAATATCAAATTTATTTTTTCATGTTATTATACATTTAGTACACTAAGTGTAGGATAAAACATATTATCCCATGGTTGCAAGGATATAGATCGAATATCACATGAAGATATATTTGATATGTGGATCAAGATATCATATTTTAGCAAAAAATTCACAAACCATCGAATATCACTTTTAAACTATCGAATATCACGTCTTAAAAAGTGATATTCGATGGTTTGAAAAGTGATATTCGATGGTTTCGATTTTTTTCAAAAAATTTTTTTCACAATTTTTTCAATAATTTTTTCAAATTTTTTCTCAAATTATATTTTTCAACTTTTTTCGCTGATGATGATTTCCCATGGGATAAACGGACAATCCTATGGATTTTCAAAAATATCAATTATATCCACTCATGGATACAAATATCTTCACTCATTCGCTGCGCTCACTCATGAAGATATCAATAACCACTCATGGATATAAATGATATTTTTTCCAAACCATAGGATATTCCTATATTACAAAACGGTTGTTGCACAGTGATTCATCACCGTGTAAATGTTCAACATTTGATATGAAATGTCACAGACACAATGCCACATTATTCAATGGTGTACTCACAGCTTATTACTCCACATGAAAAGAAATTAACGTCGGTTATATTAAGTCTGTATACATACCTACACATTGTGGACATGGGTCGAATCCAGCTATTCTTTCCCGAACATCGGCAGCCAACGCGTCAGTACTTTCAGCCTCAAGATAGCTAAATCGATTATTTGAGGGCGCCAACATCTCAAGTTGCTCCAATGTATCGGCAAATTCCGTTTTATCGTTCTTATTAGGCAAAACAACCACAAACAGATACGTGTTATTCATCATATTGAATTTTTCCAATTCGAGTTCCGTATCATCAATAAATTTCTGCGGCTGCGTTCGTCCGTCTGTTAGAAGCACAAGGATATTAGGTGTACGATCATCTTGGGTACCTGACGTAAAGAATTCCTCCCTGGCCATAATTAGAGCATCTTGTGTGGTTGTTTTACAATCAGCGGCGGCGTGGTCGAACTCATCAATGGCTCCCTGGACAGCATCCTTTGATGGTTGATCACCAAAACCAAATATTTTACGTGCCCCTAAGTCATAAGCTAACATCCCGAACTGAGTGAAGGTGGGATCCCTATCTCCCGCTGGAAGGTTTGGTTTGCCAACCGAGTCGAACAAGCCAACGAAATCATCAAGGAAAGTCTTAACACCATCCTTTGTTTCATCTGAGACACTGCATGATGTATCAAAGGCAAAGACGATATCAGCACATACTAAAATATGAAATATGTTTTGATTAAACAATATGAGCAATTGATGATATAGTAGTGAAGTCATCAGTTTGATTGCCAAAATGGTCATTTATTTAAAATTATTATTGTATAGAAATATAGAAGAATTTCCAAAATAAAAGAATCCTCCATCTTCTCAGTACAAGTCGATGGTGCGCACAAGCTTTTGACAGGGACTGTATGAATCCTGAATCCCCTTAGGAATTCTACCAGTCGACAGACTCTTACAAGAATGTACTGTCTCCATAAACGATTTTGCGCGCATTCTCAAATGTATTTAGACTGCGATTTTGAACTGCCCGCGGCACAAGCATATTGCATAATATCTAATAAGTTTTCCCCCTATGTATCGTGAAAAAGAACAATGAGCCCATGGGTTGCAAATTACATGTCAACAAAAGCAGTTCATCCGAGCGTACTTAAACCGCTTATTACGCTGTGGCAACCTTATCGGCTGCTCACGTGTGCCAACCGCGTCTGCTCGTTAAAAGTGCACCAAGAGAAGGGAAAGCCCAAGAGCTGTTGAGAGAACAGACATAAATACGTATCTTGCTTACCACGTTCATTTGTTCGAATTTTCACCTGCTAGTTTTCAAATACTACACTCCGATCTGATGTTTTAATTCATGTAGGCATATTCCGTACACCTTTCTCTATCTTTATATGAAATAAGAAGGTATGGTATTTGTTGATACGCCAGAAATAAACATATATTATTCGAGCCATATTTCGTTTGTTTGTCGATTTTGACCAATCAGAGAGGTATTGTAGGTCATCTCCATACAGGTTTAGTATGTAGGTCATCTTTGAACTCTGGGGTTAATCCCTCTGTAGTGCACTAAACCGTGGTATCTTTCAAAAGAATTATGTGAGTGTAGGTGCGCTTGAAAACACGTGAGCATTTACTCCCGTCGAGAGCTACTTAGATTTTGAAAGTATAGCTCTCTATCGCTAGAATCAACAGCTTAAGAATCCTGACTTCAAAGAAAATTTCAGGGAATTCAGCTGACTCATGTTGCACATTATATAACTGAAAATGTATCCTACATCGCCATCTTTCATTCAGCTCAACTATAGAACGTCTCACTGCCCTATGTATCGATCAGGACTTCATTTTATTGGTCGTGTCAAAAGTTTTGGCCAGGTATATTCAATATGGCGGCTTGACGTTTCCCAAGTTGCGCATGCGTCGATAGTATTTCCGTTTAACCGCCATATTGGAAATGGGTATCGAACAAAAAACGATTAGAACTCCTGATCGCCATAGAAGCACATCCGCGATCCTACATGCAAGGGGAAAGTAGACACATATGAGCCCATATGTAGGCTACAGTTTGAGACAAACAGCAAGCCGCTGACTGGCGCTGATCAAATTTAGATGTCACAATTCTTCAGCTGGGAGATCCTCACGATGGAGAGCTATACTTTCAAAACCTAACATGGCAGCTCTCGACGTGAGTAAGTGAGCATGTAATGAGCACTGCAGGGCTTGGTGTTCTTTTTGGAGGGGGGGGGGACGTCATCAAAATATTACGCAATGCAATAAAATACAGTCTCCAACCATTTTCATTGAAACATATTTCAATCAATTCCTTGTCAATTTCAAATTATAGCAAAAATGCTCATTTCTACATTCACATATACTTTAGAACCAGAGAGCAATTGATTCAACGCGTACCAGACGGGTGTAGCGCGCTCTCTACGCATGGAACTACCCTGCGTGCAGAGTCTAGTTAAACGACGAAGCTCTCTTTTAAGAAGTGAAGTCAAACGAATGCAAAGGGTAGCATGGAACCTGAGAGGTGATGCAATGTGGGTCACCGGAACGTGCGTTTTTGAGGCTATTTTTCATTTTGACCAATTTTAACACACCATGCCATAGGTTTGAAAGGGTTTAAACAAAGAACAATGGAGCAATGTTGCATCAACGTACTGCTCATTTTTATGCCCACCCGATATAATACTTGAGCAAAATAGAGCCTCGAAGTACTCTCCTTAGTGATTTTTAAATAACTTCTCTGCACTAAGGTTCCAATACACCGTTGGAAAGCTGAGGGTGTCAGCTTTAAGAATCAAACCTCCATTCGAATTTTGGCTGAATGCAAATTAGATTTTAATCCTTTCATCACCTAAGAACTTAAGAAATCAACTCGGCAACACAACAGTATATGATTATGATGTTTACACTTTGTTGTTAGGATTACATGTTCTCGTTGAAATAACCACCCAAATATCAATGAAAACGATGTCAAGTTTCTTTTTTACATCATAATTTTTCATTGACAGGAGAATGTACTTTATTTAGGATATATTTGCGTCACTCTTCATGATCAGTTGTGCGACTTTGCTTCTCTCCTTAGATTATATGAGGGTGGGAGGGTGGTTGTATGTGAAAATTTATTGTTCCAGAATGCCTTTTATGGACTGTTATGTCTAGGAAACTATTGATTGGAATTACTCCATATTAGACAGTATGCATGTTTGAGATGGAATTCTACACTGTGAAACAAAATGGGATATTGTTTATTGATAGTACCCCATGTTAATTCAAAGGTGCATATTCTCACCTTAAGTCAATGCACGCTTGCTGCAATCTTAATATACTCAGGAGAAGATGAGTAATTTGTATTGTACATTTCTAAATACCCAAATTACACATCAAATACATATCATTTTCAAATATCAAATCTCATTTCTACTGATAACAAAAATGTTGACGCATTTTGTAGCATTATGGGGTCACTTCACTTAATGTCCCCTATCTCAGCCTATATGGGTTCAAACTGAAATGGGTGAAATGAAATGAAAGGGTTAATATCTAATTTTGCATTCACTCAAAATTCAAATGGAGTTCAGATTCTTAAAGCTGACGATTTCAGCTTTCCAATGGTGTATCGGAACCTTAGTTCAAAGGTGGTCATTTATATCACCCTAGTTTGCTCTATAAGGACTATTTTCTCATCAAATCTTGTCTTTCATCAACGAAATAGTTCATGATAATTATATGAGGCTGATCAGTTATTGAAAGCGTTTTTTTTTAAATTGAAGTATTTCTATAATTGCACGAAAATACCGTATCCTATAGACACGCCTGTAAAACGGAAAAATGCAAAAATAAGAAATTTTACCAATAAAATTTCAAAAGGAATACGTGCATGATATGGTAAAATCATACGTACAGTGGAAATTTTTAAATAATCAACATGTGTTGTTAAGAAGTAGAACATCAAGGAAATTATCAAATGATCACGAATCCTTCCTTCGATATCCTTCGATTGAGCCAATATTGTTATGAAAGAAATGAAAAACTATAATTTTTACTCATTGACATTCTGGTGAGTGATACGCAAGAGGATAATAGCTTTATATGTCATTATTGATGTTGTTCTAAACTATTGATATTTGCCGTTGTTTACTTATCAACAATATGCAGTTTAAAGAGACAAGACCAAAGAAAAAAGCCAAGTCGAATTGAAATATTATTTCTATACAAATATTGCACATTTCCCAATTGGTCATTATGCAGCGCCAATCACACTAAAATTCAATTTTGATTTTCCCGTTTAGCGTTTGTGCTACATAATAATCTAAAATATAAATAAATTTTACTAGTTCATAAATTACTACTCACATTTTACAGCTCTGCTTGTGTCACATTGCTGAGCATAAGAAATAGTTCCAAGAATTCCCAAACTTATTAAAACCCTAAGAATTGTCATGGTGCTTTATTTTGTAAACAGCACTTGTCCGAGTGATTATTCAAATTATGCTAATCTACATATATATGTTTTACAGTCAGGCTTCACTGGCCAGCATAAATTAAATCAGGAAGAATATATGATAATGGTTTCATCAAATGAATTTATGATCATCGAAAAACAATATATACGCTATATGTCATCGTTTGACGAATGGTGACTACTATTGGTCAGGCAGTGGCGGAGTCATGGGGAGAAGGATGAACAGAATTTATCAATGTTCTTAAATCAAAGCTTGTTATGAATTATTACTAGATAGTACCAATTACTACGCCGTCTAACTTAGGAGTACTACGTGGTTACAATTAAATACTATGCGTGCACATCTAGAATGATATCAAACCCCATTTCTAGCGGGGAATATAAACAACGCATATGTCACGTCTTCCAAACTAGATATCAATGGTGATTGAAAAGGACAATATTATAGAGAGTGGCAACATTATATCTTACATTGATTGTATGAAAAATGGGTTGATTTTATACGCATCAAAGACGATTGTCATAACATGTTTACAGTTTATTTAATGACTAATTAATGCCTTCCAAATCAACAGCCCAGCCCATTATTAGGACACACTGTATTATCTAGCTAGGTGCAAACAATCACATATAATTTATATGGGAAGCCGTCAATATTTCAATAAATAATGTACATTTATAATTAACTTTTAAACATTTGTATGGAGAAGGTTGTTCCTCAATTGATAAAAACAACATTTTGAAGAATTCAACCTCATTTTACGGAGATTCATTCAACTGTGACTTGCCGCTTTTAAATCTAAAGCAGTTCTTTGGATGATCAGGAATAATCATTATCAAAATGGTGGCGAATTCAGAATCGGAGCATTCTCACGTTGGCGAGGTTAATCCAAAACTGGCATACGTTGATGAACTGTCGCCATTTTGCTTCTTCAAAAACAAGTCAAGTAAAGTGAGCAAATATTCTATGTGATATTTCACATTAACTTGATCCTTTTGAATAAACGTAGTCCAAAGTTGTAAATTACAATAAACTACATGTATCCATGAATCAATGCTATGCTCAAATATCTATAAAATTAACAATCAATTCCGATATAATGATGATAAATCGCTTGAGAAAGTGAATGTTTTGTGATGGAGTCAATGAATTATGAAGCAATCTATTTATATTTATGTCCATGGTGGACATATTTAGGTCCATATTTATGTCCATTTACAAAATCTATTGCCCCAGAATGCACCTTTTTATTAGTTTTTTCAAGATTATGTTTTACTTAATATTATCATTATACAATGTCCGACCATTGGCCAAGGCCATTGGCATTAGTGGCCCATGTCGATTTTCACATATACTTTTTAAACAATCTTTAAAATACAGTTAGTAGGCACATAATAATCAAGTAATGTCAGGCTGTTTAACACTCGTTTAAACATATTAAATGCAATATTACGCATACGTCAAATATATAAAAATTAAACAAAATCTAAAATTGAAGAAAGAAAGTTTTTGTAAGTTTCAATTTTATATGGAGAGCAAACATAGAATGATGTATCTAGTTTTTCTTTAAATACAGTTTGTCATAATGGTGAATGTTAACATTGGCTATCCCTGCAAGGTTGAGTGCTCGTTGCTCCCTGAGATCAAGTAATAGGGGCCAAGAAAAGAATAGGTGTTGGATTGTCCGACATAGAAAGCCACACGTACATTAAGGATAACATTATTGTATTGATACTGGAACTTGTGGTAACGTAAAATGAAATCACATCTGGTTTTATTAAGCACTATTTCAGCTTGCCTGTCTAAATTCAAGTGGACAATGTCAATTTGGGTCTTCTTTGGAAATGCAGCCGCTAACGATTAAGGCTGTCTTATAGTGAAGCCTGTGCAATTTCAAAGTTCGTGTTTTTGAGCCGCATCAAAGAAAACTGAACCGTATTCTAAATGGGGTAAAATAAAGGACATACAGCGTGTTCACTAAGTTGTGACACTATCTCTCCCATTTCTACAGTTTTTAACTAATCTTTCTAGATTTTGCACCTATCATCAGGCATGTAATAATGAGTGCACATACCAAATACATTTCTCAAGAATAAAAATAGTTAATTTAATCATATACATTTCGATTTTGTAACATGGTCCTTGACACGACACGTATTACGTCACATTTAACTACAATCAAGGAACATTTAATTCTGAGCATACCACTTCTGCAAATGATACAATATTTTTATCCAGCTCTGTAGGTTCATGCCTAGTCGTAATATTTCACTTAAAAGTAATTTGTTTCTGAGTATAACTCTTAAGAGTATCATACATGATGTACGTACATGAATAAAATACAACGCTAAGCTACACTGAAAAACATCTACTAGCCGATGCAACTGGCTTGTGAATTATGATGAACACTTAATTAAATGTCATCAATATTAATTACAAACATTCCAGATTCATCACTCACTTTTAAAATATTTTGTTTACCATACTATAGTACACAGTCTTTAAATTAAACACAAAGGGCTCTTAATGAGTATTGATTTTCATTGAGGTCAATATAAATAAACATAAGTATATTAATCACAAATATATTGTTTGTTTCATTCGTTTGTTGGGAATCAAAACATTCGAGAGTTAATAAATGCACTTACAAACACTCGATCATAAGATAAGTTCATAAAGCCAACCACTTAGTCGCATTTTGCAACTCGCCTGAGTGGTCAAACTAACCACACACCTCCGTGTGGCCCTCTAACACCCACAATCCTCTACTGCCCTCTATCACCAATCTCTGTGTAGCCCTCTAAAACAAAAAAATCCTGGATTGTCCCCTAACACCCATCTCCGTTCTACTCTCTAACACCAACCCAGTGTTGCCCCTTAACACCAATCCTGTGTTGTCCTCTAAAAGTAACACATATGCTGCCCTCTAACACCAATCCTAGATCCCGTGTTGTCCTCTAAATCCAACCCAGTGTTGCCCCTTAACACCAATCCTGTGTTGTCCTCTAAAAGCAACACCTATGCTGCCCTCTAACACCAATCCTAGATCCCGTGTTGTCCTCTAAATCCAACCCAGTGTTGCCCCTTAACACCAATCCTGTGTTGTCCTCTAAAAGCAACACCTATGCTGCCCTCTAACACCAATCCTAGATCCCGTGTTGTCCTCTAAATCCAACCCATGTGTTGCCTTTTAGCATCCTGTGTTGTCCTCTAAAACCCAACCCTATGCTGCCCTCTGACACCCACCCCTGTGTTGCCCTTTAACACCTATGATGTGTTGTCCTCTAAAACCCACCCCTATGCTGCCTTCTAACACCCAATCCTGTTTTGTCCTCTCCACCTCTGTGCTGCTCATTTAAACCAATCCATTTGTAGCCCTCTAAAACAAAATTCCCTTGACGCTCACCTCTATTCATTTCTCTTAACATTAATACCTGTGTTACCCCCAAGCACCTAACCCTGTGCTGCCTTATAACACACACCCTTGCGCTGCCTTTTAACATCTATCCCTGTGTAGCCCTCAAACACCGAATCCTAGACAGCACTCTAACACCAATTCTCTGTTACCCTCAAGCACCAAACCCTGTGCTACCTTCTAACACCAACAATGTGCCGTCTTTTAACACCGATCCCTGTGTAGCCATCTAACATCGTATGTTGCTTTATATAACGTAGCCCGCTAACATCCAATCCTGTCATGTTCTCTAACACCCATCCCTGTGTTTACACCAGACACTGTCAAAATCCGATGTAGTCATCTAACACCAAATCATGTGTAGCTCGCTAACACCCAATCCTGTGCTGCCCTGAAACACCAATCACTGTGTAGCCCTCTGACACCGAATCCTAGGTAGCCCTCTTACAGTAATTCTGTGTAGCCCGCTAACATCCAATCCTGTATTGTCCTCTAACACCCATCCCTGTGCTCCCCTCTCACACCAACCCCTATGTTTCCCTTTTACACCAGTCACTGTCAAAATCCGATGTAGTCATCTTATACAAAATCCTGTGTAGCCCGCTAGCACCCAATCCTGTGCTGCCCTGAAACACCAATCCCTGTGTAGCCCTCTAATACAAAATCCTGTGTAGCCCGCTAGCACCCAATCCTGTGCTGCCCTGAAACACCAATCCCTGTGTAGCCCTCTAATACAAAATCCTGTGTAGCCCACTAGCACCCAATCCTTTGCTGCCCTGAAACACCAATCCCTGTGTAGCCCTCTAATACAAAATCCTGTGTAGCCCGCTAGCACCCAATCCTGTGCTGCCCTTTAACACCAATCCCTGTGAAGCTCTCTAACACAAAATCCTATGTAGCCTTCTAACACAAAATCCTGCGTAGCCCTCTAACACTAAATCTTTCACCCAAATCAAATCCTATGTTGTCCTCCAAACCCCTCTATGCTGCCCTCTAACATCCATCCCTGTGTTGCCATTTTACACCAATCCCTGCGAAGCTCTCTCCCGCCAACATAAAATGTTGTCCTCCAAAACCCAGCTCTATGCTGCCCTCAAACACCCATTGCTGTGCTACCCTTTAACACCAATCCATCTCTAGCCATCTAACATCGTATGTTGCTCTATATAATCTACCTCTTATCATCTATCTTACATCAACACTTGTGTTGCCATTCAACACCCCTGGATTGCCCTTTAACACCAACCCCTGTTTTTCCCTTAAACACCCAATCCCGTGTAGCCCTAAAACATTCAAACTTGTGCAGCCTTCTGAAATCCACCTCCGGATCCTCTCACACCAACACAGTGTTAACACACAATCCTGTGTAGCCCTCTAACGCCAAATCTTATGTACCCTTCTAACACCCAACCTTGTGTAGCCATCTAATACCCACCCTGTGTTGCCGTGTTGCCTTCAAACACACCCACCCATGTGTACGTCGCTCTTTAACATCCAACCTATGTGTATACCCTTTAACACCCAACCTGTGTTAAACTCTAACACCACTTCATGTGTATCCCT